AATTAAAGAAAGGGGGTGATGAAGGGCCATGAAAATCACCCCATGATCAGTGTCCACTGGACATGATTTCCAAGGACCTGTGGCCCCTCTCTGCCTTCACTGCTGTGTGCTGCCCCCTCTAGTGGCCACATGTAGAGGAACACCCTGAGGAGTTTCCTGTCCACAGTCATTGCTAGAGCAACAGATGCTTTCTTGCACATTGTGAAACATGCTTTGCTGTTGTGCTTATTTCTTTCCTTAGGTAAATAGTCCTAAGTGGATTTCAGGCACTCTCCTGAACTGTGGTTCCATCATAAAATGAAACAGTTTCCAGCTACATGTTAGCAGTCCAGGAATTGGGATTCCTCTACCATGTCTGGAACCCGAAGCCACACAGTATTCAGCTGCTCAAGACTCTCTAGGCAGAAATGGAGGGACCAGAGACTCATGGTGCTTGGGGTCCAGCTCTGCAGTTTGTCTGTGGTTCAAGGACAACTTGGTTGACCAGTTCTAGTCACCATAAGCGCTTTGTAATTAATAAAATGTTCCAAAATATCACATTTTAATTAGAAGAGATGGAGAATGCAGGGGAGTTGGAGATATGGAAATTAATCAGTTAACATAGGCCCAAACCAAAACACTCTGTTCCATACTCTTGAGTGTTAGTTGGAGTCATTTAATAATAATAATAACAACAACAACCAAACCTGAGGGCATTCAAAGTTAATGACTGTGAACTTTCTGTCTGTCAACTCCACTTAACCTGTAGCAGCAAGTGTGTCCCTAGGAATGCCCACTTATCCTGAAGATTATTCCTATTTGTGTGATTTCACCATTTTATCCACAATGTTTGTTGTTTAACTGTGAACAATCTATGCCTTCCCTCCCTGAATTTTCATTCCAAAAATGTCCTTGGCTCTCAGGGTGAGTGGACATGTTTCCAGGTGGGAAGGAGCCTGGCCAGTGGCCACATCTGGAGCACTTGGCAGCACATGGTGCTTTTTCCAAGAGTCTCTGTAGAGGCAGGTGGTCCACTTCATATTAGAGGAAGTAGAGTCTACAGAGGTTTGGGTCAACAGACAGTGACCATTTTTCATCCCTTGGGCATCTGCAGGGTCCTTGGGACACCTCAGGAGGACAGAGGTGGTGGACACAGAGAGAAGTGTCCTCAAGCCCTCAGTTCATATCTCTGCTTCCATTAAAATGCCTCACAGGACCATGGCAGGCCTGCAGGGATGGTGGAGGAGAGCCTCCCTATCTCTCTAATTTAGGTGTTTCCTGTATTTTATGAGGTTTCAACCTGATGATGACAAGAAGATTCAAATGCTTTCTTCAATAATGCACTGAATTCAGTGTCTGAGGCCTGGGAAGGGTGCATCTGTGCTCCCCACAGTACAGTGTGGGATCCCTAATATGCATCCACAGTACTTGACCTGGACCCCATGTGGGGTAGATGAAGGCCCATCTGTGGTCATTCTGCCTGGTAGCTGGATTCTCAGAATTATCAGGAGCCCTGTGAGCCCTGGCTGATGTCCGCTGCAGGAACCTCACTGGAAAGGCTGGGAGGGTGGCTGATATATCCTTGTATTGTGTTATGTGGGTGACTGGGAGACCCCTGCTGAGCAGAGACCAGCTGATTTGTATCCACTTGGAATGTCATTATTTCCAATCAGGGACATTTTGAAAGGTCCAGTCACAACAGTTCCAAAAACAATTTTGTCTCCAGACATTTAGTCGTGTTTACTCTTGGGTATGACATTCTGTCAAAGAAGCCTTCAGTATCAATGAAGTGAGGGGTGGTGCCTGGATTTCCTCAGTGCTATCTCCAGTCTCTCAGGGAATCCCTGACTCAGGCCTTGTAGGGACATAGTCCAGTATAAGCATTTGACAAAGGTCAAGGCAGACACACCCCAAATCCAGAAATAACTCAGAAAAAGACAAAGTGCCTGGAGGAGCCCAGATGCCCTGCCTCACCTCAGGCCCAGGACAGTGGAGTGGCTGATCATGGACTGAACACTGAAACCATGAGCACCAAGTAAATGACCCTCCTCTGAATCTGTTCTTCTCAGGTCTTTTGGTCACAGTGTGAAAAGTTTACTACCACCCTGGGCCACCAGCTGTCAACCCCATTCATCAATGTCATTTTTGAAGGACATCTGCCATTAACACTGCCCAGTCCCTTTTTCCTGTAAGGTTGCTCAGGAGGGACCAAGGAGAGAGAATCCTGTGCCAGCCCCAGCACCTGTGCTAAGACCTGTGCCCACTTGGGGGACAAAGGAGCCTTTGGGAAGGGTGAGAACAGAGGGCATCTCCACCCTAACCCTGGGGTCCCAGAGAGTCAAGGGCTCCATGGGAAGAGGTTCACAACTTCTGTGGCAGATAACACTGATGGCTGGAGAGGATCAAAGCACCTCCATGTCTAGAATCTGTGCCTTCTCTTGCCAAATGCCCAGGGCTTTGAAAGACTCACCATAAATAAATGGTAAATGTCTTCGGGTGAGGAGTGTGATAATTAGAAAATTTTATGACCCTTAGCAACTTCCACAGGCTTTCAGGTCCAGGCCAGCACTCAGCATTTGGGTGGGGTGCCCAAGACCCCAGGGGAGTATCAGGGAAGGTCCCAGAGGTGCTGCAGCTCCAGGTGCCACCAGACACTGGGTCTCTTTCCTCAGCCACTGCAGGTTCTGAGCCAGGGAGGGACCTACTCCTTGTCCCCTGAGGACCCTGCTCAGACCCCCATCTTTATTTTAGGAGTCCTTAGGGGCCAGAGTCATGTGTGACTGGCATGTCCTCTGCCCAGGCAAGAGAAGCTTTGATTTTTATTTTTTAATCCAGTTTTCTTACATTATTTTTGTATCCAGAACAGACCCACTTGGAGGTGGGCCAGGAGGATGGTGACCCTGGGGCTCTGCAGAGGATGACGTGTCAGGAGATTGGTCCCTGGATGTGGCCTGGAGTCTCTTGTGGCCTGGGAGGTTCAGAACATCACAGCTGTGACTCGTCCCAGCCACTAACATAGGTACAGAGGACATGGAGACAGGAGGGGGAAGTGAAGGTGTCCAAGGTCACCTATGTAGGAAGCCTCTTGGGACAGCAGACACTGTGGAGGTCAAGTTGAAAGAGAAAACAGTTTGTGTCTCAACCCTGGAGACAGATCAGAAAGTCCCATGTGAGGGGGAAGAAGAGGATGGGAAGTAAAGAAAATCATACACAGTTATGTCTTCACAGAACTGTTGAAAGTCGGCTCATCCAGGATGTAGACTGTGGTCAATTAACTAGTGATTTTTATTTTGAAAAGGTTATCAATCACTGTAGGCCTGGTTGATTTTGCAGACTGTAGAATTAAAAAAAATATATAAATATTTTTGTTTCAATGAACAATGATTTTTTTGAGATCTCGAGGTCCCTGCTTTTCCCAAGTTCGCCTCCTGGTCTTGATGTTGCTGTCCCCCATTAGCCATGGGGATCCTTCTTCCCCTCTCAGATGCATCTCTAGATGCCCCTGGGCCTTCCCTGATCCACAGAGAGGAACAGCCACACACACCACACACCACAAATCACAACAGACTCCACACAGAATTAACAGGGATTGAAAAGATTCTGCTCCCTTTCCCTCCTGCAGTTACTCTTTCCTGCATGCCTTGGTCCCTATGACCATGAGGACACCAGTGCCTGAGTCACACACTGGCTCAGGTGCACCTGTCCTGTCCTGTTTGAGGGCTGTTACTTATTCCTGCAAACTCTGCCATGCAGCTGGAAACTCTCAAGCAAAATAGTATGTCCTGCCTTTTATATTGCACAAAAATCTATTGAACTCTGCTAAAATTCAGGGACAACTTTCACAGTTGAAAAAGATCAACTGGCCAATGAAAAGGAATATTACAAGAGCAACAATCATCTTTTGAAATGATAGAAAGACAGCGTGTAGGTAAAATGTCAGCTAAGGTTTATTGTTCCCCACAAAGGAGGACTGAGAGATCTCAGAAGGGTAGTGTTTGATAGGAGGGTCCATCCGGAGAAGGAGGTTGGGGGCTGAGGACTGACTCATGAAGCCATTTAACATCAGGACCAGGTGACTAGTTATAGCTGTCTCTCCTCAGCTCTGACCCTAGAAGGAGAGGGGAAGGTTGGACATATTCCTAGAGTAAGTAGAGCAGAAGTTGAAATCAGCATCTTCACATCCTGCACATAGGAATCACACACAGGCAGCCCTGAGTGCCCCACAGAAGGTCTCCTCTCACTCAGCCTGTTTTACATTTGGTCTCAACAATCATGGCACACAACTTCAGAGTATAACATAAGATGATCTCCAATATTAATTTTTTTTGTGGAGATAATTTATGAGTGTGTCTGGCAGGAGGCACACTGCAGAAATATCATCATAAATAATGGGTTTTGCTGTGTTTGGGATTAAATCTGTGCTATACTGAAAAGTGATTGTTCAAAAATGATTTTCATATATAGTAATGAGTGAAAGTCATTAATGAAATGCCCTTAACTGAGATCTATATCTGTATTTTTGATGCTGATATTTTTATGCCAAAAATCATTGATGGAAGAGTGAACAAGTAGATAGATTAATTTATGTTAAGATGCAGATAATACTGTCAGCAATCAGCAGATTTATGACAAGTTATAATTCATGGACATCATCCTGATGTCCACTCCCAAGTTTCCATCTTACCCTGTTACCTCCGCATGAGCTCACTCCAGGAATCACAGGGATTGTCCCACAGTTAATGTCAAGGGGGTGGGGGGGACCTAGACTTTGACTTGAATGGATTAGCATTAAAAAATGGCACAGGTTAGGTGACTGTTCCCAGAATGTAGTCAGAATAATGCCTCATCAGGGGTGACAGCAAGCATCTTATTGGGGGGTTATTCTTCATGCTGAAGAGGATGTAAGTCACCTGAAATTTTAAAGTAACATCTCTGCACAATAGATGAGGAGTTTAGGAGGTTGGCTTGGTTTCTGCTGATACCAATATAAATAATAAAAAATGTCCTCACTGGCCCTACATGTGATGGTGACTCTGTCTCCTTGAGACACAGGCAAAGAGGATGGAGACTGGGTCATCGTGATGTCACATCTGACACCTGCCATTGGAAACATAAAACAAATATCCTTTTAAATAGTGATGTTCCAAGAGGACTTTCCTGAGTAGCCAGGCAGCACTGACCACATTCTGATTAGTAAATCCCCAGGACTGTTCCCCCTTACCTGGGAGGCAGAGCAGCAGGAACCGCAGGAGCTGAGCAGGGGCCCTCATGGCCATGCTGTGTCCTGACAGGTCTGACTCCTGCACAGGGTGTGAGCAGCCTCTTAATAAGTCCTCAGGGCAGTGGGCTGTGCTATGGGCACATGCAAATCATCAGGGCTGGGCAGGCTGGGCACAGCTGCAGGGAGGCTCCTACTGGTCAATCAACACAGGCTCAGTGTGTCCAGGTATCCCATGTCAGACCAGAGCAGCTCAGATTTGCTTGGGGTGAACATGGTTCCCTGGGGCCACAGGACACAGTCAGCCCCCTGAGCCATGAGGGGTGATCTGTAGTCATTTTCTGGTTGAGGACAGGCTGTCTTTGTGTCTTAAGCACAGTTTTGTGTTGGTGATTCTTGGAGGAGGAGGGGAGATTACAGAAGCAAGGGGATAGTTTATGCTTTGGAAGTAAAAACAGAAATGAAGGCAGCAAGAGAGGAAGACTTATAAACTCACTGAGATGTTTGAGGTTTCTGGACATTGGCACAGCATGGGTAAGAGTCAGGGAAGAAGGGCCCCACCCATGGACCCAGCCCTCCCTGCCTCAGAGTCCCACAGAGCACACTCATACCCATAATGATGCCCATCTTCTCCAGAACAGCAGGTCTAAATCCAGCCAGGCTCTTCAACTTAACTATCTTTTAGGATAAGTAACAATAATTTTACAAACAATAGACATTTTACAAACTTTAGAAATTGAAGTTTGGAGAATTAGGGCATGGTCAGCATCTTAGTAAACACAGTAAAGATCCAGATTCTGTATATAATTCTGCTTTACCAGTATTACCACATGTGTTTTAAGTCCTAGTAATGCCTCAAAACCTAAAGAGGGCTGCAGTTTCTCTAAACATCATGTTCTCCATCAGGTCCTCTTGTAAGTTTTCCAGAAATAAAGCAAGTAAAAGTTCTTCACCCCCGCTCTTCTAAGTCTTATCAAAAACCTTCCCAATAACTGTCCACAATCTTTTTCTTTTCTTTTCTTTCATTTTTTTTTTCTTTAATTTTCCCCTTTGGTGCTGATAACTGAACTCAAGGCCTGGTGCATGCTGCACAGTTCTCAACCTCTGAAGCAGAGCCCCAGCCCCTGCCTCCCTCATTTATACATCATTTCTGGGATCATCAGTTGTCTTCTGATACTTCCTCCTGCCCTGGTCTGGGAGGGCTCACCTGTTCCTACCACAAACAGCAGGACAGAACTTGTGAGCAGTAAATTAAAGGGAAAGGAGAAGTTTTAAAAGGTTCACTCTACTTTAAATATCCCTGTACTTTTGCTAAGTTCCTTAGGGAAGGGAGACTACAATGAAATCTTTTTTTATTAGTTGCTCATGACAATACAATGATCTTGACGTATCATACATTTGAATCAAATGGGGTATAGTTTCTCATTTTTCCAAGTGTACAGATTGCAGAATCACATTGGTTATAAAGGCACGTATACACATACAGCAATATTAGTGTCTATTTTATTCTGCTGCTCTTCCTATACCCCCTTCCTCTCCCCTCCCCTCCCATCACTTCTCTCTACCCAATCTAATGTGACACATTTCTTTTTTTTTCCCCTCACATCATCATAACTGTATTTTGTATAACAATGAAGGTCTCCTTCCATCTTCTGTGCAATTTCCCTTCTCCCTCCCATTCTCTCCCGCCTCTCTTCTGTATTTAGTGGTAGTCTTCTTCTCATGCTCTTCCTCCCTACCCCATTTAGAGTCATCCCCTTATATCAGAGAAGACATTCAGCATTTGTTTTTTAGGGATTGACTAACTTCACTTAGCAGTAAGGCTGAGGACCTGGGTAAGCAGAGGCCCTGCCCTCAGGCTGTGGGCAATAGATCCAGGGAAGAAAGGTGCTCCACACCCTGGGGCTGAGCCAAGCTGAGAGACCACAGCCAGGGGAGGTTCAGAGACCAGGAGTTAGTGCTGGGGCTGGCTCTGTGGGGTGGCTGCACTCTGTGCTAAGCCCACTGTCCTGGAGAGAGAGCCTGATGGACCTGAGAGGAGGGTCAGCAAAGACTCACCAGAGCCTCATCTCAGCCAGAGTTCATTGCTTAGAAATGAATGAAAGGAATATTATATGCCACATATAGAATATGTAGGAGATAAAATATGTGGATATACCCATGTTTCCTCTGCATCTCCAGTATGAGTATATGTGTGCATATAGATATTTCTTGACTTTTAAAAAATGAGTTTTTATTTTTATTTTTTTTTCCTTTGTTACTTTGTCAGTTCTGGTGATCTACACAGAGTCTCTTACATGCTAGGCCAGCATGAACTACACCCAAATAGTTTTCATTTTATTCATACACATTGTTTCTATAGTTTTCCTGGGGTGGCCTTGAACCTGCAGTCCTCCTCCCTCAGTCTAAAGGTGTCCGGGACTATAGGCATGTGCCACCCTGCCCATGGGACTCTAAGTGCAGACATCCTGAGCCTGGAAAGGTAAAGCTGGCATCTCTTGCCTAAACCAATGGCTGCCTTTCCACTCTCAGGACTGAGCATGAGCACCATGAAGTTCAGGACCTGCACAGGGTCCTCCTGCTGCCTGGAAGACTGACCTTCTCATTGCTCAGGACACTGGGGGACATGATGGGCTCCAGTAACAGAGAGAAGCAAGTGTCTTAGAGACCGGCAGTTATTCTGTGGCCCAAATAGAATTTCTATGTCCAGGGTTGGTCAAGGGCAGCTCCTCTCTGTTGGCTTCCCCCACACAGGGCAGAAGAGCTAGCTCAGTGACTACATGGCCACAGGACAACACATCCACAGTGACTGCTGGTCACCCCTCTGACTGGACAGATAGAGGTGGCTCTGGCAGGTCATAGCTGATATGATGCAGGGACTCTGCTCACAGTGGACCATGGCGGCCACATGTACAGCCCTGAACATCTGCAGCTCTCCTTTCTGGTTTCTAAAGACCACCAGCCACCACCTTTGAGTCTCCCATGAGATTCCAAGGGGTGGAGTCAGAGGTAGCCCAAGGGCCAGGTTGTGCAGGAGAACAGGGTTGTGACCCACATGAGGACAGCCATGTGGGAAGTGAGGAGTAACAGGTATGAACTCAGAGTAGGAGGGGACAGGACAGAGAAGACTCAGGCAGGAGGGAAGAGGAGAGACACTGGAGGAGCCCAGGATCCAAGGAGAAGGGATGGGAGGGGAAGGAGGGTGTGACTTCATAGCTGTCCCAAACCTGCTCCCCTGAGGGTTCTCAGACTGTCAGCAACCCTGTGTATAAGCAGCATCTGAGTGGAGGTTTGTCCCCTAGTGGGGACAGGAAGAAGTTCAAGTTCCTTGAAGGAAGTGTGGCTGCTGGTGGCCAGCATGATCTCTGTCCCTGCCCACAGCCCTCTCAGGCATCAGGGTGTGCAGAAGGCAGCAGGAGGCAACAGGAGCTCAGCAGCCAGGCCTGGTTCTGAGGGTGCCAGGCTGTCTGTGAATGCCCACCAGGTAGGTAGGTATTCAGTGCTGAATAAAAACTGGTGAATAAATCACCAGTTGGACCATATGGTCCCAACCTTGGGGTATTCTGTAGACAATGTTAATTGAAGTGAAAACAAAAGCCCCCTCAGGAAAGGCAATCGAGATGTACTTTATATATAGAAGACAGTTTAATGTTGTCTTATTAAGCCAAAGAATAAACACTAGGTCAATGACAAAGTTGTGAATCTGCTTCATGTGAGGCCATCCTTATATGTAACTCTTATTTGACTGAAATAAAATCTAAAGCAAACATAAAATTAAAAATCATATTTACATCAGGAAGTGATAAAATCTTTTGGACAGAAGAAATACACATAGGTTTACACATGAACACAAAATCACATAGTTTACATGACTCAAAAACACTATATTATCAACCATTTATGGAAATAATATTCTGTATGCTATTCAGCCCTTGGTATCCATGTTTGAAAATTGTTAAGAAATTTATTTTGAAAGTTACTTTAGGCTTCCCTTCAGGTGAATAAAACACAAAAGTACTGCTCTTTGCAGAGGAAAACATTCTGTATTCAAAACAATTATAGCTGGTTGATCAAGTTTTCAAAATTTTTTTTTAATATTTACTTTTTAGGTGGACACAATATCTTTATTTTATTTTTATGTGGTACTGAGGATTGAACCCAGTTCCTCATTCATTCCAGGCTAGCACAATACCACTTGAGCTACATCCCAATCCTCAAGTTTTCAAATATTAATAATGAGTTAAAATCAAGGCAGAAGACCTAAAAACAACTCAATATAATTTAAATATTTGCATCACATTTAAGCCTAAGAATATCTGACACACAAGAATCACAAGTATGTTCTTAAGGAGATAATTCTCTGTTAATAAGAATATTGAATGAAAGAAATCTTTGAATAACACAAGGTTTCCTTCAATAGTTGAACACACTGGAACACACCTGTTATCCCAGAAACTCAGGAGAATGAGGCAGGAGAATCACAAGTTCAAGAACAGCCTCAGCAACTTAGCGAGGCCCTGTCTCAAAATAAAAAAAAAATAAATAAATAAGTAAAATAAAATAATAATAAAAGGTCCTTGGGATCTAATTTACTGGTGAAGTGCCCCTGGGTTAAATTCTCAGTACCAATTAAAAACATGTTATCTCAAAAATGTACTTTTTCTTCCCTATTGGATTAGCAAAGACTAAAAAGATTAACAAAACTTGGTGTGAGCAAGGGTTTTGAAAATAAGATTCTCATAGACATTGAAGGGGATACTTTTTACAGATAACAGCTTAGCCATATTTATCAATATTTAAAACATATATAATGTTTGACCTGGCAGTTATACCTCTAAAAAGATAAATAAATAAGTATACTATAATCAACATAATATTATTCACAAGAAAGAAAAACAAGTAACAATGTAAATGGTTATCAAAGGAATAGATAGATAAAGTATGATGACTCTAAATGATGGAAAACTAGGCATTGAGGGCTGAGGTTGTAGCTCAGTGGTAGAGCACTTGCCTGGCACCTGTGAAGAACAGGGTTTGATTCTCAGCATCGCATATATA